GCAGTATCTGTACTGTGATGAGATTTATATGCCAACTGAAATTCTTCTAATAAGCCTTCATTTGCTTACAAGTAAGCAAACCAATTTGCATTAACAGAAATAGGCGCATACATACATGTATCTAGACCTGCATGCATTCTTCACGTTAGTATAAAGATATTCAAGCTATCATAATTAGTTTTCAGGTCATTCTCAGATAAGCAAATTGTCAAATGGCTTTGAAATTCGAGTAAACTTGTTTACATGCAGGTATGGAGCTCAATGTCTTCTTAACATGTTTGCACTTGTCCTTCCAGAGAAATGCACATGCATCTGTAATGCTAGATAACATGTCAAAGTCATTTTGCATAACAAGACTTATACAGACCAGACTTTTATGTGACATTCACCTCTACATTTCAAACATGTCCATGTGTATTCTGTCTGTACTTAGAAACAAGGGTTATTCAAGGAAAATGTTTTTTCATAAAGTGGCTTTGAAAACTGTAAACTAATATTTGGAGTATGTTTATCGAGCTTGTGTCCTGATATTTGAACTTGTTTTGTGTTATTTTACATTTCTCTAGAGTGCTTAAAAATTGAAATGATCTGAGCACCACAGGAACCATTGGAAGTGGATATATCTGCCACTGTGACCTTTGTTATCAACCTAAGCCATGCCTTATCACGAGAGTAATAGACCATTTTACAATATTTTTTGTTTAGTGACCTGGCCTTTGAATGGCAGCAAGGCTGGAGGTGACCTTGTTTTGATACAGACCTCACTGCTTTTGTTGTGTAAATCAAGCTTTATGCTAACTAGTTTGCATTTAAATGAGAAAAGCAGAGAGGTCTGTATCAAAATAAGGTCAACTCCAGCCTCCCTTGCATTCATGGCCAGGTAACTAAGCACACAACTGTAAAATGGCCTATTCCAAGATTTACCTTGGTTGACTCTTTACTGTTTTTGGTGGCATTCACCTTAATATCAGGTCACATCCACATGAAAAAGTTTACCTTGGTATGTATCCACCAATACTGCAGTAAAAGGTTCAGTTGTTAACTAGGCATGCAATGATCTCGTCTTTAAATATCTTTGCCAGGGTGCATTACCCGAGACTTCCAAACTGACGATACGACAAGGATTTTTAAATTCCTCACCACACAGCCAGCCATACTCCCAGTCTCTTTCTCTCATTGGTCTGCTCAAATAATCCCAATTTTCTTTGTATTATGTTCACTGGGAAAATTTGGACTCAAATAGATGGTAAAAGATGCCCATTATTGGCCAGGATACATTATTCAATATGGGAAATAAAGAGAAGTTAAGAAGCCATAATGATCATGTTTATACGCCAGCACCAGCAAAAATTAACATGAATGTGAAAGTCGCTATACGCCAATAACTCACACGCTGGTATGCTGCAAAATTTAAAGGGCCACACTGAACATCTTCGGCGTAACTTACTCTGAATGCACCCTGGTATGTTGGCTCTATTCTATTATTCACCCTGGAGTATTTGTAACAATTCAGCGGCCTGTAAGTTTCTTTTGGAAAACCAATTGCCTAATCAAATGATTTGGATGTCAGTCGTTTTGCCTACAAGTCATTTCGTCTACAAGTTGGTTCACCTACATCGAAGTTTGTTTCGCCTACATGACCAAAGTCATTTCACCTAACGATCTGAGTTGATTCACCTGCATTAAAGTCATTTTGCCTACACTTAAGTCGAATTTATTTTGCGAAGATAGATGGACATCACTGCCAACATGGAGCAGAGGAGTCGTATTTGACTGCATTTCCAGTTAAATTGTAGCGCGAATCGATTTGTTGTTGATTTAAAAGATTTCCACACTATGCATGTAAAATGGAATCTCGATTTTTCGAACCTCCAACGGAAACGAAAATTGGTTCAAAAAATTGGAGATTCTGAGAAATCAGGTGTAAAATTACAGCCTTTGACTGAGGAGGGGAAACGACGTTTGGTTCGAGTTATCAGGGGTTCGAGAAATCGAGATTCCACACAGTTTGATCACGTACAGTTACTTGAATCAACAACATATTGATCCTCTGCTCCCTGTGCCCTGTCAGACTTCTTTTGGTCAAAGTGAGGTGGAAAGGAAAATCACGCAAAAATTCTCAAACTCGATTCCCGTGCTTAACAAAACAAAATACGAAAAGCTTCCCAAATTGAACTTAGTCTACTGTTCGCTTCGACGAAAAAGTTCCTGTTGGTGATCTCCAAGTTTGTTAGCTTGTTTGTTGAGACAGAGCGTTCAGCATAGCCGCGCCGTCACTGTGGAATACTCTTCCGAAAAACATTACTATAATTATTGTAAACCTAACTGCAATTTTTAGGTAAGTATTTAGTTTTTAGTAATAAGTATTTACTGTTGGCGAATCTACTTCAATGTAGGCGAAACGACTTCGGTCGTGTAGGCGAAACGACTTCGATGTAGGCGAATCGACTTGTAGGCACAACGACCGGTTACCAATGATTCGGTACATTTTCATGCACAAAAATACTGAAAGCTGTTTCCAACATGTTTCTCAAACAGCTTAGGGCAATAGACTTGTTCAACCACCTTGAGCTTGACCCCTGGTGCATAAGTCGACAAAAGGCAGTTATGAACCAGAACCTAAGACAAGAGATGCCACATCTTCACATACATACTGGTGAACCAAATAAGAGAAACCTGCAACTGATCGACCTGGAAAGGTTTTCGTTGCTGGCTTTAATTTTCTGTGAGATCAACAACAAGCTAAGCAACGTCTAAAAACATGTAGACTGGTGCTGAAACAGCCAAATGAGGAAGCTTTGCTTGTAACGTTTACTATAGTGTGTAGTTTCAAAAGATAATTAACACGAGCAAAACCAAGCAGAAAGCTCAACGAATGTTTGAAAAAACCCTACCTCGTCTTCCAATGTTTCGATTTCAGGCATCGTGAATGTGTCCGAATCGGTGTTTTCTGCCTAATCGTCGTCGACATGCATGGGAAAAATTAACGCCCGGGCGGAGTGTGGGGGTATTCAGCGGACACACTTTTATGTAAAAATACGTTGTGTAAGTGATCCC